TCAATAAATCTTGTTTGTGCATTGTCCCCTTTTCTACCATAGTATGAGCATAGAAGAGTGTTTTATCATTCACCTCAATCGTGGTTTGAAACATATGAACATTTATAAGATTCATAATAGAAAATATGAAGTACCTGCTTGCCCATCCCCTGCAATCAAATATGGATTCAACATTACTTTCAAGTCTAAGAAACAAATTTTAGTAGCTTAGCACAATTCATAGTAAAAGTGAATTGAATGGCAAAATGTGCTGTATGTTAATAAAACAATATAGAACTGGTGAAATACATTCTATGGGAAAGTGTATACTATAATATACTAACAGGTACAGACTGAGTGGTAGGGTTGTGTACGAGGGCCTATCTCCTCAGACTCTTCTATAAAAAAAGAAAAATCATAGAAAACATAGAAAAAAGTAATTCTTTCCCAATATGAGACCTGCACCCTAAATATATATAAATATATATATATACATATATAGAGAGATGGATAGATAGAGATATTCATTACCCAATGCTCTTCCTATTGGTAAATCAAAGGTTTGCATCCCCTCAAAATTCATTAGATATCCACTTCTAAACTAAATTACATTTGGGCATGTAATATCAAATAAATTTGAGAAATTTAAAGTAGCTGCTATAAAGATAAAGTAATGGGTTTAAGCAGTTTCTGAAAAATTACCTTGAATAAATTCCACTTATTAAAAAATCTATTTCCTATGAAATTACAAATGGCCAAGGTATTCAAGGAAAAGACATGTCTTTGGTAGTGTCTGTAGTAGCGTATATTCATTGTCCATATACATACATAAATACATACATGTATATGTACATATATACACATTCATGTGTGTAAAAAAAAAAGTGTAAGTAAATGCCCCATGTCTCTGAAACATAACATACACTATATTCCATGAGGTTATATAATATGGTGTTCACATAATGTTCAATATGCATCATGTCTTATTTCACAAAACATATGGAAGCTTTGCAGCCAATGACTGTACACAGAGAACAATGGTACCCTGCCTTCTTTAAACACTTACAACAATTAAAACGTACAATTAGTAAATAATGCTAATGCTGCATCTACTGTAACATGAAAAGAATCTGTTAATGGTGTGGTAAATATAAGAATAAACTTCATCAGAGAAGGAAGGGGAAATGTCAATAGAAATGAATCAATCTCTGGAGAGAAAAAATCTAAGCATAAGAAGATAAGTTGTTAAAGGTAGTACTGTTAGTAAAGATACATTTCTGGGAGAACAAACTATCATTTATAAAGCATATATAGTTAGGCCATGAAGCTCTCTAGTAAATCCTACAAAATCTAAACCAACTTGTGTCCTTGACAATTCTATTTGAAATAAGATGCAATCATACAGTTATTTACAGAACGTGTTTTGAATGAGAAACAAAACCTATGGATTAAAATCTGTTCAGTTGTTACATTTACAGTATGCTAGAAAAATGTATAATCACATGCAAAAACTTCAATATATAAATTTCATAATATGATGAAGCACAAGGGACTAAACCCTGAGTTACTACATTACTTAGTCTCACTTCAAATTTGTACTCTTCACTATGTAACTAAAGAGTAATGTATATGCATTATTCACTATCTACTGTTAGTGCTGACTTATTTACTTGGCCTATTGTGTTCAAGATTTGGAGATTTTGAGGCCCTTGGGCAGCTTGTATGAGAGGAGGCCAGCCTGACCTTAGAATGCTAACTGATAAATATGCAAAATCTATAATGAGTTAAGATGAACATTTGTTCCAATAACTACCAATCAGAAATACATATTTGATATTTTCTGAAACATTTGGAGGCCTCCAGGCAATTGTCCATCTTGCCCACTCCTAAATTTGGCTCTGGGTCTACTATAGGCTAAAAGAATTTTCTCTCTGGATGTGAAGGAAAACATACATTTCATACAAACCAGCTAAAAATGCCAAAAACTTTACACAGCAAATATACCTAAAGATTTTTCTTGAATGATATCTTTCTTTCAATGCCTTGTTTTCCTTTCCTAGAAACAAAATGATAAAATGCAATTCAGAATGAATGGCACATTAAGATTAAAATACTGATCCTGACAGTTTGTTTAACATATCTTCATGTTCTTCCTTTCTCCATTATAGTTCACAACCTACATTACACTACAAATATATCAATAATTCTGGAATACTAATTTAAAGGATAAATATAAAAATAAAGGTCCTCTAATTCTACCTAATTTTTTAGATTTAATATAATTCATTGGTAAACTCTTTGGAGCAATATAATAACACTGCCTAAAAAAACAATTAGTAAAAAAAAGAAAAAGACATATATGTGAATATTTGTAAGCACATCCTCTCCTTCCCACACACACAAAATAAATATGCTTAAGTATGGTTATAACATTGATTAGAGCAGCACACAAACACACACACTCAAATTATCTCGCAAATACACATCATTCCAATGTTAATTATAAAAGCTGAGCCAATATGATATAAGACCTAATAATTATATATTTTCTATCATACAATACCCTTATTATTGCCTTAAAGCTACAACTATGAGAGATTCTTTGGCAAATTGTAAAACTGTAAATTACACTTCCCTATTGCTGAACAGCTTCTTTTAATTTAATTTTTAATATCTATTCTTCAGAATTTGGAATAACTATTCCTTTTAAAACAAGACTATTTACAATTTCATCTTACCTTCCATGTCCGATGGCAAGGTAAAAATACTTTTATCACATATAAATATTAAAGCGACCTACTGTGAGCTACATCAAATGAGAAGGATTCTTTGAGGCACTTCAGCATTTGTTTAGTTAAATCAGAAAATTGACAACTCAAGATATAAAATACATTTCACAACTGAAATTCAATCAAGGAAGACTGCAGTTTGGCTTTCGGCCTCTGCCAAATTGCAAGACACTATATCACTGTTGAGAAATAATGTCTTTTTCCTGCTTTCCACACTAAAGATCCAATAAATGGACAAATCTATAATGAAATCAGTGCAAACATTTGGTTATTTATAAAAAACAAAACAAAATATGTATGAGAGAGAGAAGGGTAGGAATGGGCAGGAGCAGGCAGGTTAAAAGCAAATTCGTAGTTCTGTAGTTCTCAACAGTTGCTTGTCTCAAAAAAGTTCTACTTGCATATAACTTTGTTAAGATACTATTCATATGAGAGGGGGATCTAAAAGTGGGCAGATATTCTAGAAATTATATCATCACCATCTCAATCATTATTTTTTGGATCATATTATGTTTTTCTCATACTAAAGTGCTCCTACACTGAGAATGAAAACACATGCAGTATAAGTGCTAGTGCATGTTATCTAACTTTTAAAACTATAGTAAGATGCTCTTGCTCAAATATGTACAAGTTCTTAATTTTCTTTATAACACAACTACCAAATATTAAGTAACATGGCAATTACAGATGTTGAATGTACAAATCTACTTCTGTTTTAACCATAATTTGTTCAACACAAATATGCATGCAAAAACAATCTTCTGACATGAGAACAAGCAATCAGAAAGTTTTGCATTCACACTAAAAAAAAGAGCAACATTTTCATGCACATGGATCCTGTAAAGAAACCTCATATAGACCAAAATGCTTATAGAAGTATCCCAATTGCTTGAGCTGCACAAAACTTTAGCCTCTGAGGACTTTTAGTGATAATCAGCCAATTTCATTTGCTGTTTAGGTGTGGGAGTAGCTGTCTAGCACTCTATCAATGTTGTTTTATTGTGAAGGAATTTGTCGTGTTTCAATCTACTGCTTATCATTATAGATATATATACTGTAGACAGGTGATAAAAAAATCCTGTACAGTAACAGGTGTATAGGTTGTAGATTATGCCTGTACATAAAGCATTCATGTGATTTACTCTTTACACATCAATATTATATTACATGCTGAATAAAAAAAGAATAAAAAAGGACACATATAAAACCTAGATGTGCACACGCACACGCGCGCACGCACGCACGCATGCATGCATGCATGCATGCACACACACACACACACACACACACACACACACACACACACACACACACACACACACTCTTACTCTTACTGACACACTTTCTCTCTCTCTCACACACACACACACGCACACATACACACACACACACACACACACACACACACACACACACACACACACACACACACACACACACACACACACACACACACACACTCTTACTGACACACTTTCTCTCTCTCTCTCACACACACACACACACACACACACACACACACACACACACACACACACACACACACACACACACACACACACACACACACACACACACTCTTACTGACACACTTTCTCTCTCTCTCACACACACACACACACACACACACACACACACACACACACACACACACACACACACACACACACACACACACACACACACACACACACACACACACACCACACAAAAAAAAAAAAAAAAGGAGGGGGGAACTCACTCTCTCACTCACACACATAAAAGGGAGGGGGGGACTCACTCACTCACTCACTCACACACACGCAAAAAAAAAGGAAGAAAACAAATTACAAAGATGGATAACAAATGAAGAAGGATTCTTACCAGACATTCTAAAAAGGCATTGTTAGGCTCTTTTTGGAATGCAAAGAAGCTTGGAGTAGCTGTTAACCTGCTGAAGACTGGTGTCAACATGTAACTTTTGGCAAAAGCCTGGGTGTTAACAAACTATTAAGGCTCTTTGGGGCTTTGACTACGTTCTCCAAGGTTTACTAAAAAGTGCAGAGAGATCATGCACTGTGCATGACCTTTTATAACATGACTGTCAAAAGATGTACTATAAAGTATGCTGCATTAGCAGGGAGCCCCCTTACTGAAGGATAGAGATAAATTGTAAAGAGTAGCCATAAGATGGGACCAGTTTTAAGGGACATGAGTTCTGAAGAAGAAGAAAAAAAAAAAAAAAAAAAAAAAAAAAAAAAAAAAAAAAAAAAAAAAATTATAATACTAAGGAAAAGAAAGAAAAAGAAAAAATGGAATGACAAAATTATACTCTACAATACAAGGTGATTATGATGTTCTAAGAGTTTCTATCGTGAAAAAATTGTGTGCCAATAATAAACATCACTTTAGTAAGCAGTCTCTCTCACAATAAACACAACTATAATAGGCAAGAATTCTCACCAATATACAGACACAGAAAAAATCTTTTTAGCTACAATTTAAATAATGAAATTATAATATTACACAAAAGAAATGGACTAAAGCAAATTTGTAATGCTTTCTTGGAACTCTACAGTTGTTGGACAGCAAATTCAAACACCAGATTAATCATATGAGTCAAAAAATACACCCATTATGACTAATTCTGCCCTAAATCTAGTAGTCGGAGACATGGCTAGTGATAACTAGGTGACTGAACAACCCATACCTTGCACCCTATGTACATATTCTAGGATTGTTCTTAAATGGTGATTGTGGCCTGTTCAATCACTTGGTCATGGTAGGCAGAAACACTGGCTACTAAAGGGGGTGGGAGCAAATTAGTGCTTACAAGTTTATAGATAAGACACAGATGGGTTGGCCAAAGCCAACAATGTTTTCATTCACAATGAGTGTAAAGACTTTCATGACCATTACTGTTGAAACATGTCAAGGATGATGACTACACGGATGGAGAAGAAATATGGAAATCGTGATGAATCTGTGGAGATATGAGCAGTTCCTTCTCAACAAGTCCTGAGTGCTAATACCACCTCTTAACACAAAACAACATATTTCTGATGTTTTGCCTCTATACACATTTATGTACATATAAACATGCACACACACATACACGGACACACTCAGACATGGATACGCACGCACACGCACACACAAACACACTTTTCCCGGTACAATTTTATCCTCTTCAATTGGATAATATACTGCAACCATTTCTAATGGGTCATAAGCAATTTGTTAAATGTCTTAAAAATGGCTGTGGAATTATCATATCAAAAGCCTTGTTTACTTGTAATTTGATAACCTATGCACAGCCAAAGATCATTTTAATCTAACCTGAAATAAAATTACTTAGGGGATGCAAGCTTTAATCAAAGGGTTAAGCGGGGATAGGCACTTCTGGAGAATGAAGCTTATTTGATGTGTGGTCAAGTTGTCATTAAACAACCCTCTTGGTATTTGGTACTGTCTTTGAGTTTTGTTTATGTGCCTTCCATAATGAACTTATAGAACCAGAATGTATTTTCTCAAAAGAATTTTTGCATGAGATCTGGCTCCCAAAGATGTCTGAAATCTTGAGCTTTATCTCAATAGTGGAAATTTTAAGAATCAGTAGAAGTCTTAGTTCACCATCTTCCTTCATTTTGCAAAATGAAAACTAAACAAATTTCTGACTCAGCTTCCTTCAGCCCTACATCTCTAGGGTAAATGTAACTCTTACAATTCTAAAACTGTATAACCATAGCATGCTTATGCCTAAAAAGTGCTTTTAATGTTCCTCTCTATGAGTGAAATTTTTAATGGAGCACAAGATTAAGTTTTAAAAACATTAGCTATCTTTACTTTTTGACAATCTTCCTAATCTTCTAGTACAATACAGTCATAAAACTGTTATCAACTTCTCTTACCTATACCATTATAGAACATTTTTTTTTATCATTTCTAACACCTACACTAATGAGAAACGTGAAGTGTATTTTGCTGGTCTAGTACCATATATTTAATATACTCTATATTTTTGAGTGGTCTTTATGAGAACTATAAATTTCCTGTTCCTAAAGATTAGCAAATACCAAGAAGTTTTACTCAGCAACATGCAAAAACATTTACTGTTCTGAAGTTATTAAATTGTGGACCCCAAAGTTTACTTGACTTGTGGTTACAGCTGAAATACCTATGCTCATGCATAAACATTTGATGAAATGGGCCACTTCTACTTCCCTTCTAAGTTACAAGATAGTTTTGCTTTTGTATATTTTAACAGAAATAATGGTAAAGGTACAAACATAATCAATATTACACACTGTAGAATAATTCTACCAGAACAACTGAAGAGAATGGAATTGATGGTTTTGAACTTTGTTTCTTCTGTGGCTAAAATGTTGGAGCATGACAGAAGAATTACCATGATCAATATATCAGAAAACCCAAAGATTGGCACCTCTACTGTACGACTGTCAAGCATGATCACGTCCAGGTCAGGAGGTTTTGAGCATATTAGGTGTCTGACATAATGGACGATTCCAGAGTATATAAAGGATACAGTATATTGGAAAAATTATTTGGTGAAAAAGTAAAATGATAGAAACTCTAAGAATAAATATTATGTCATCACAGGTGATCAAATGTAGATGTACCAACAGGATCCACACAATAAATGTTGGTATGCTGAATGAATGTTTCTAGCTGGAGACTTCTCCCAACAATACTTTGCTCCTAGTTCAATCCATCGATATACACAATCAATGAG